GTACAATGCACTCATACACGCATCTAACCATTCACATACATATGCAATCAGGAATTTCGTAATTATATTTGGGAAGCTGTTAATCACAAAATACGCGGCCTATGCAAATATCACATCCAGGTAAGCTGCCGCCTTGAACAGAGTCCGCAATCTGAATAGCCTATGCCCTTTAATTAGAGGTGCCTTAAATTATTTTTCACAATGTATAATGTATTAATAAAACACTAAGTAGCACTCTTATTTGTTTTAATTTTTATTAAATAACACTTTGGCTAACTCTAACAACATGTTAAAGAAATACATATTTGGAATTTAGCTCCTTTACAAGTGAAACAATTTATTACAAAGTGGCATGACATAACAAACTTTAAACCAACGTGGAATAGGGAAACAAAGTGTCGTGCGACAAACTTTTAACCGACAACGCTTGTGTTTGCATAAATATTTTATCACTTTATTATACGAAGTCCAATACACAGTTTTGGCACTTCAGCAGTGGCAATTTGCATATGGTGGACTAGCGTAGTAGCTGGCATATTCGGAAATTAACCAAATACGCTGCTGATTTGTTGAAAATTCCGTTAATTTATTTGTTTATTGAATATATACTTGTATGTGCGTTTGGGGGCCTTATTCGCATATATGTAAACATATGGCATAATAAGTGACCGTATGCAAATTACAATGCCACCTTATTCACGTGGATTTCATGTTTGCAGCATGCCAGTCATTCGTTTATTTGCCGCTGGCCGCTGTCAACATTGTGACAGCAAGCTTACACGCGTAAAAATTTTAATTAGAAAATCTGTAAAAATATAACAAGTATTTTCACACATTTTGCGTCACGCCGACATGCGCCAATATATCAATTGTTTGCTGATGTTTGACAAGGAGCCAATGTGATGTCTAAATGCTAACAGAATATGACCAATAAAATTTATGATGTAAATATATTTTAGTTAGTGCATACAAATAGGCAAATAGTAATTATATAATACTTGCGAAGATCAAAACGCGTGACTTAGCCACTTAGGTGCCCTGATTAATTCGATATCCCTGCCAATTACATCCGAAGTCAATTGGCCAAAAATCCCTCGACTCATTGGGTCGATGGAGCGTTATGCGGCGAGAATTAAGCCCCAGATGCCATAAGGTGTGAACCGGTTATCATTGGCGTTAAGTACTTGCCACGCCCACGACACGCCCTCTGCGAAATTCCTCCCCTGGGCGGAGTACGGATAATATTGCTGATGCTCTTGCGATGCTGCCGCAAAATTCAATCAATATAATTGCAACACTTTAGCAAAGGACTTTGCCAGGATCACAGACTCACACACGCACACGTACACAGACGTATGTCCCACGTATACGATATGAGCTTCAATTCACCCACACATGCACACTTCTTAACTGTGAATGTAACCAAGGCAAATTGCGTAAACAATGTAAAGCGTTTCAAATTTATACGTTGGACCCAAAAACTTGCCCCAAAGGAACCGGCGACAACAGCAACTGATGACGAGCTAAAAAAGGAGTAAAAGGACCCAAGCATAAACCAGAAAACGTGTGTGTGAGTGTGTGAGTGTAGAGGTAAGTGGCAAATGTAGAAAGAGACGGCATTCGTGTATTTTCCCCCAGAAGTTTATGCACTTAATTAAGCCCTAGCTACTATAGAGCATACACTCGCGAAAGGTTCACTGACATAAATGAAAACAAAGGTGCGCTCTATTATACTTCAATAAGTAAAATAATCATGAACAACTGCATATTACTATAGGTTTCTTTTACATTCATAATCTGTCGTTTTTACGAGGAGCTGATAATAGGTTTATGGATGAAAAGTTCAAGCCCATATTAATTAGCTTCCAATATTGCGTTTTATAAATCATTTCGCTCGCACTAAAATATAATTTAATCGATTTTCACAGTGCATATAGAATAGAAGTAGACACAACAACTATGTGGAGTGGAATGGAGACAGAGGTCCTCGAGTACATCCGCCTTAAGGTCCCTGGAACAAAGTTTGCCATTTCGCTGGGTGGGCGTAAATGTGTCGCAGAATTACTCAAAACTCGAACTCAACTTTTCCCCCACACACATGCATTGCGAGGAAAGGATGTGGAAAGTGCGGTGAACTTGTACCCACAGCTGTGACTTTGAAAATACATTCAATCATTTTCTGAAAGTTTCCCCGGATACGTATTTTATTTATAGTTTTCAGCTGAGTGAACGGTTCTTCCTCCTCCTTGCTAAATCCAATTAAATTTATATTTATTAATCAACCATGCACAATTTATGCTTTGTTTACTTCAAAATAAGGTTAACAGTCTAATTTGCGTAATGGTCCCAGGTCACGATGCGCTTCACGCCTAATTAATACAACCAATTGGCTTAATTTTTGTGGCTGTCAGCATTAAATTAATTTCATATTTAGCGAATAATGACCATTGCTAGTGTCACCCAAGCGGAGCAAACAAAAACAAAATTGGCCTTATGCAACAATATGAAGTGATTAGCAGGTTAACAGAATTTGATATTAAACTAATACAAAATAGTAGTATAATAGTATAAATAATTAAAAGCGTGTTGCTTTGACCCCCGAGAAAACTCTTCCATTCAAGTAAATTCATTACAATAAGTTGTATCTATTTTCCTCCGACAGAAGGCAGGCCAATGAAGTTACCCACCGTTATGATTAAAAGGTAATCCAATTCGAATCTCCGAAATTCAGTATGCACTATATTAGATTTGCTCGCTCAGCGTTTTGCTTGTAAAATCCCCATTGCTGATTAGAGAAAGCGAATCTCACGTACGGCGCATTCGCCTTGAGCCCGCTGCGAAAGTGGTGCTCCTGCCAGTGATATTATTTTCTTATTCTTATATAAATCCATTTGAAATGCAACTTTTGCGCTAACGCATAAATCTTCAGCACAAATTGCAAACAAGCAGGGCAGGGGCTGAATGGCCTGAAAAGAAGGCAGCAAAGCGTAGCTGCGAAGCAGTCGAAGCATGTGTTGTGCCACTTCATATACATATACACACACACACACACACGCACAGATGTGTACTATATAAAAGTGTGTATCCCAGATGCTTGTTTGTATATATATTGTCGCAACATCAGTCAGGATTAGTTGTAGAAGTTTACCAGTACGACTAGTGGCCCCATCTTGTTTGCCATGCTGTACCCGTCACGCAGAACGCTCCAACATGCTGCCAGTTGTACCGCCCATAACCCACCGCCCAGCCACCCACCTCCCAGCCGCTACTGGTAGCCTTGTCCTTGTGTTGTGTCTTGTCTTGTTGAAGTTTTCTGCACCGACGTTGTTGTAACTGGCTTTGGCTGTTTGTCTTGTCTATTCCATTCCATCGGAATGTGTGCCGGGGAAGTTGCTCCCGTTTTGTTTGCTTAACTCATTGCCGTTGAAAAGGCCATAGAAATTAGTTAGGTAATTTCGCCGAAAGTTCCACTAAACGTAAAATTGAAATGTTTTATAAAAGCCCTATTTAGAGAGCTCAACGCAAGAGTTCGACTTTTACACGAACACTCGACCTGGCATACGGAAATAGCCAGATGCCGATTCGATTTTGTAATCTTGAACTGCACTATATATTCTTTATAAATATATAAAGATTTATAAATATATAAATTTTAATCGCTGACGGCTATTACATACATTTGTTGGAATCAGCAGAACCTGATTTAATTGGCATATACCTCTTTTGAAGCCAGTTTGCATTGTACAAGTGACGAGAATGGATCTCATGTATCGGAGCAGAAACTAATTCTCCCGTCATTCAGTTCCGGCATCTAAGCATGTTCAACTGAATCTCCTCCTGCCACATGAGGATGTGTCCACCAGGAAGATTGTACGACATATGGCCTTCAATAGGTCAAATGCAGTCAACAATGTGGCCCCTTTATTCCTCAATAAAAAAGGCGATTCCAATCGATATGAGCAGGTAGGCATCGTCACCTGTGGATTAGGATGTGGATCAGCTTTACCTGATGTATACACTGATGTTTCGAAAATGCGGCCCTGTATTAACTATCAGATCCAAGAAAACGCAGTCGCTTATCAACCGCAAAATGCAGGGGATGGAGAAAAACTACCAAGACAATACTTTAGAGACTTATAATACAAATTCTGTAAAGTAGAAACTAATAAGTAAAGGCAAATATTTAAAGATAGGTTTATTTCTGAAACGTTTATGCCAAAAACATTTAATCGCCATATCAAACAGCATGAGATGTTGGGCATTAATTAGCCAAAACAGCCAGTTCATATAACAAGCTGCGTTCATCCTTCTACTTTCGGCTAATTGTGGACTTGTGCGGGTCGTTTCATTGATTTATGGCTGCTAATTTCAACGCTTGGCGTTCAAAGTATTAAATAATAAACTCTATTCCGCCAGGACCCTCTCGATCCCGCTGCTTTTCCGATTACCCGCCATAACTCCACCCACATCATCTTCCTCGAGCTCCTGCTGAGCTGCAGTGTCGGTCTAGATGAGGCGCCATGCAATACGAGACTATAGGAGCGAGCTCCTTTCTGGTCGCCCGGCAGACTTCAGAAGAGTTTCCCTGGATTTTATGGGCCAGTTTGAGACTCGGGCGGGAGTTCTGCCGTTCCCTCTGGACGTGTAATGAAATTAAAGGCGTAATGCAATACAGCTGGCAAAGTTTTTGCAGCGGGTATTTCCATGGGTTCTCGTTACTATTTGCTCTTTTGCCCGCCAGTAGACGTCGTCGCTTCTCCAGCCAGGCATTAAATTTAATTAATATCTTCCGTTTTTTAACAGACTGCGGTCTTCAAACAATTTGATACCGTTCGGCTTTTTTTGAGATGCTATTTTTTCCAGCATCTCTCTGTCTGAGAATAATTTGTAATATAAAAGTGAAATTTGATGCTACTTTGAACATGCAACTTCAATCAACTTGGCCGTGCTTTTTAATTCAGAATCACTTTGACATTACTGTGAAAATTCAGTTCCTTAATTCAGTATCACTAGCAAATTGCTGGCGAACAGACTTATCAAGCTAAATAAGTAAAAACAACTAAGAAATGAGTTCACAACAAAATTTAACTCCACCAGGAAATTCAACCCCAAAGAAAACGGTTCGCAAGATCCCCGAGGAGTCCTCAATATCCACTGTCCACCCGGTGGCCACATCTACACCAACTTATATGACACGCAACCGCCAAAGGCTTCTATCGCTCCAGATGGATTCTAATGCATTCATTTCGAAAAATTCGTCATTGGTGGATCGAGTTCCACCCACGTTCGAGCATATTCGTGGCCGAAAGGGTATTCACGATCCTAGTACTCCAAAAACTCCTGTATTCCCAAGGACTAGATCCCGGAATTTACCGAATACTCCAGTGCGTGCTACCTCAAATAAAAATACCCCTAAGCCGAAGACACCGGCTCAAAAGAAGAAAACTCCTGCAAAGACGCCAAAAAAGACTCAAAAAACTACGCAAAATATTGCAGCATTAAATTCACCGACAATGAACCCGGAATCGCCAGCAGTGGAATCACACATTGATTCAACCGAGATGTCATTGAAAATTCTGCCATCAAAACCTTCGAAAGAGCTATCAATTGAAGAACCAGTTAAGTTACCAACGATATCATCAAAGATGTCATTAATGATTTCGTCGGTGAAGTCTGCACTTAAGCGAAAGGTGTCTTGTGAAGAAAATTCACCTGAAGAAGTATCCGATAAGGAAAATTCCGCTGCAGAAGATAGTTCGGAGTCGCCTTTAAAAAAGGCTCGTCTGAATATCTTCCAAGTTAATTTGGGATCGCCATTCTCCATGATACGCAGCAAGAAACTTAAATTAATCTCAGCAGATGAAAATCAGGAATCATATGAAGCACCTCCTGTTAATCTAGGCCAAATCAACACAAGTATGAGCATGGAGTCCACTGAAACCACCAACTGTTCTACAACAAAGAAGGCAAGGATTAACCAATTATGTTTTATTTCGTAAGGTCATCAAAGCTTTACAAAATATTTTTTTTACTGGTTGCTTTGGTGAGTAGGATACGATTTTTATAGGAATGTTCTGAATTGTTACCATATATCTTATTCCATAGGTACCAATGTTCTTGGATGCTCCTAAATAAACATCAATGCCACGCAGAGGCCTTAAAACTTATTCCTTTGCCGAGTTCCAGCACCAGCCTGATTGTATAATCTACACTCTTGCAGACGATAAAGTTCTTTCAGCGCACTTTGTAAGCTGGCAAAATGCACAGAAATGGCATTATCACGTTGCACACAGCTAATTTGCAAGCAATGGACGAGGAGGTGGAATACAGCCATAGAGGGGAACGGGGTACAAAAAGATCGGGCAAAGAGAAAAGAAAACTGAATTATATTTGCACAATAAACTTGGCAGCCGCCGTCTCTCTATATTATTATTCTGCCAGTTGTTTGTTTGTACTTGTGTGTTCCCTTGTATCTGTGGGCAATAGTAATAAGATGCAAGCACACCAAGTATTCCTTTTGCACAATTTTCCTATCCCACCCGCCAAATGATACTGGAAAATAAAAGCCCCGGTCAAATTAGAATATATTATAATTTATGCTAAAGCACGGAATAAAACATTTTTTAGATCAACAATTTCTTGTATTTCTTACATGTTGTTGATAGAAAACCGTGTTAAAATACTTAAATCGTGTACAATTAAATTGCATAAAAATGTATATTTCACATGATTTATTGCTAGATATTATTGCTGGAAATGAAAAAGTTTTTTCAGTGTGCCATGAAAATGCGGAAAAAAAGGCGCAAGAACTGCGGTTCAATGGGAGAAACACTTTTGGGCTGGGATGGTTGGGTGCATATAAAGAAATTTGCATGGATTTTGAACGTAATAAGCGAAATGTGACTGCAAAATCCAATTTGTAATGAGAAAAGTAGTGCGAATTGTCTGTGTATCTGTGTGCGCGGTAGCTACAAAAATATTGCAGCATATTTCTAGGCGTATTTATGGGATGCGCTTAGTTTGCCGTCACATAGCATGATGGTTGTCGTGGGCTAAGGGGGTGAGGGGGCTAGGAGGCGTGGCAGGGGGACTGGGGACTGAGCGCGTGCTAAAATTATGCAATACAATTATGCGAACAGGCCTGCAACTCGGCGCTTGCATGTGTGCAGCTGTCTGCATGTGTGTGTGTGTATGTGTGTGTGTGTGTGTGCTCTGCGCCTCGAAACGTGACTTGTTTTTGGTAGGCTTACGCTGGGGATCCCCCAATTTGTTTGCGGCTGCTTCGTGGTGTTTTTCCTCATTTTATGCCGGCCTGGAACTACAAAGGGATTTGTTTCGAGAGCAATGGATAAGTTTGTGGACCAAAGTGCACAGCTGCACACTGGGAACGCAAAGTTTTCAAACTAAGGCTTAAATTATATTTCTATTGTGTATTAAATACAACTTATTTGAATTGTTTACTTAGCTACTATTAGTTTAGTTTGAGCGATGAAATGAAATAACAGTTTTATATACTTCCAACTGAAAGTTGGACATCCTTTAAAGAAGGGATATGGATATGCTTTGATTCATTTCAGTGTGCACAGCCATTTACATTTTGTCTCTCCATTTAAAAATAATTTCCTGCACGCGCTGGAAAGTATGCTATAATTCACACGTAGCACAAACAACTGGCCAGGACCTGCGGTTGCCAAAAGGAACGGGAAAAGGCCTTCCTGTTTACAATTCATAAGCAATTTCGGACTGGCGACAAGGCGAGTCGGAGTTCCCATGTTGGGAAATCAACCTCGGCACCACACGATTTTTAATTATTTTGTTGCATTTTCATTTCAGCTCTGTGTTTTGTTTTGCTTACCCGAATAAACAAGGTCCAATGGTCGCCTGTTTTTCATGGCGAAAAAGAATGCGGGCTTCTCGAGGATGGCAATGCTCGTTCCTTGACCGTGTATTCTCTTTTGTATAATTACAAAACGTGATTTTCTTTTTGTTTAGTTCTCTTTTTTTTGGCAGACAACATTTCACGGTTTATGTTAATTTTTTGTCTGTGTTTCCTAGCTTAAATTATTGTGAGCTCCTCAAATGGCCCGTTTTGGTTGGTTTTTTGTTTTTTCAGAGGGCAATGTATTGTCCAGAGGTGTCATAAAATAAAAGTTCATAAATATTTACTGCACGTTTTATTAGTTGCTACCACGTTGTCGACGTTGTCCCAACTCTGGGGTAACTTAAACACATTTAAATACAATACCCTTGATATTTTTTAAATATTTAAAATATTTATTTTTATATTATATTTTGTTATTTATATAATATATATATATCAAATATCTATCTACTTAAAAAGTATATGTAGAAAGCAAAAAATCAAACAAGGTTTTAATAAACCTTTTAATATTTGGCTGGGAATCAAGTTTTAATATCGAATACTAAAACTTTTTTGCTGGTTTCTGCTTCAATTTCTTATTCATTTACCCTAGAACAGTAATGGAGTTGTTGTGTGTTGCACAAACCATTCAAACACTCCAATTGCCAATAATACATTTTAATTAATTGCATTATGTAACTAAACAAGTAAATTCCCTATGTCAAATTGAATGAAATTTTGATGGAATGTCTACCATTCTAAGCTGTTGTCGTATTCATGTGTTGACTTCGCTATGGTCATTGATGTCAAATTAAATCAATCATACGCACTGTGTACCCAACGCAGACATCATTTAACATAAACGGAGCTCCGATCGATACACAGAAGGTGAAAATCAGACCCATTGAACCGCAAATGCGACGTCAAGCAATTTCATGCCGGCGAAAATCTTTCAAAGTTAATTTTCCACACACGAGAAAACAGAGGAGTCAAGACAGCTACTCAGGAACGAGAAAATTGTACGACTTCAAAGAGTCAATAAGCAGCCAAATATAGACGAATGGCGGTGGCGGTGGAGGTGGAGGTGGCGGAGGGATGTTGGCCAGCTAAACCAGGTGGGCGCGTCCAATGGAAATGGCTCGGCTGCCTGGCAAACAAGCTGACTGATAACGGAAGCTGGCTATGCACGTGTTTACCTCTCGATATTTGCCGGCTGCCATGGAAAAGGATGTCCTCGCCACCTCGCCTTCTAGCGCACACCCACCCGTGCTCAGTCTGTCTCTGTTTGTCCTGTCGCAGGACGATAATGACGACTGGTTGAAACGGGGAAGGGGGCTACATCGCCCCTGGCCGCTGCTGATGTCACACATTCATGGTCATTTTGCTGAGTCAATCGTTTGAAAAATTTATGTTGCCTTCAAAAGCAAAATTTGCCATCACCGTCGTTTGATTCCCAGCAGTGGAGGCAATCACAGTGGTGAAACATTGCTAAAATTAATCTGTAAATTTTCGGAATATTTTAAAGTAGTGCCAAATAAGTGCCATATATGGTAGAACAATTATATATATGCCTTTGTCTGTAACTTTCTATATTATACCACCTTAAGGCGAGTCTCCCACCGAAATGGTTATTTTTAAAATAGAGACCTAATTTATTTAGCAAGTTCGTTGATATCGCTTTGCTACTTAAATATGATAATTAATGTTAAATTAGTTAATAAGAATTAGTTAATAAGAAATAAGGAAAGTAAATGCCTTGTGCTGATAGAAATTAAATAGGTGCGATCCTTATAAATGATACCATTGAAAATTCATTTAAGTGTGTGAGAGCTTAGCCACTGTGCGACTGCGAGTCAGAGGGAGAAAGGTATATGCCGGAAAAGGGACGGAGATAGTCAATAGATGCGGTTCATTTAACTTGACTGAATGTGCATCGCCTGCTAACCTGCTTCCATTCGCATTGTCTCCTTGGCAGTCTGGTCGGATCGGGTTTCAGCCGTTTCGACCATGGCCTCAAACTCAATTCGTGTTTATGAAGTGCTGATGTGTGTCTGATTTAATTGGAATTTGATGCAATTTTCAATGTATGCCGTCTAAGTCAGCAAAAGTGTTTCACTACACTTCAGTCATGTTTAACCACTTAATTATGACACTTTGGGGAAAACATTGGCTTTGAGTTGACTTGCAAAAGGGATGTGAATATTTTTACCTGCAATCCTGATTAGCTGCTCATGTGGGTTGATAAGTATTTACAATGACAAGTGCTTTAAACAAATAATGCACCAGGAGAATTTCAAATTTAAGTGCAGTCAGGACTAGTCCTAGTTTTCAGCTAATTAAAAACAAAAATGATTTTCTTTAATCTCTAGCAATCTTATTGCTATGAACAAATTATGGCTTTCAACTATATATTTTTTTAAATTTGTCCTTTGACTCCTTTAATTTGTATGTCCGCAGCTCTTAAGACCTCCATTTCCTTGCCAGACCAGACAATGTCCTTCCACAGCCATAAGTTCTCATTTTAATGCGCTTAAAGCTGCTCGCGGAATAGAAAAATATATAAATGTGGGCAGCCAAGTGTCAGCGACAGCTACGGGCAAAGAATAACCTAAAAGTTGCCCACAAAACAACAGACCCAACTATCCACAACCCTTCATGGAATTCACCCTCTAACTTAGTTACAAAAAATGTGCCGAGAAAGTAGATGGAGTGATGGAGAGGGAAATGGGGGGAAACGACGAGTAAAACTTAACAAGTTCACTTAGAAGAAATTAAGTTTTCAGCATTTATGTTAGGAAAACTGTAAAGAAAAACTTTCTTAATGAAGCGACGACAATGTGGTGAGCAATGAAGAAATGTGGGCAAAAAATCGCACTACTGAAACCCAAGAAGCGCACAAGTTTGCAATGAAAGCATACTAAATGAGGTACCGCATAGAGTCGAGAAAAGTGCTACAAAAATGTTGAAAACTCATAACAATTTTATATTGGGTGAATTGTAAAATAATTACATTTAATTTTAACTTCTATGTTAATTTATTTGCAGAACAATATTACTATACCATTGTTGCTAGCACATAAAAAGCGAAAAAAGTACGAGTATATTAGTCCGTATATATATACGAGTGTTTATGCCAGGGA